ATCCTTCTGCATGGCCACCTGCAGTGCATGTGGTAACTGAATCGTTTCCAGGAAGGCACAAAGGACAGAGGCCCATGAAGGCTGGGTCCCTGAGGCCACAGTTTCACCCACACCATCCCTCCCGGCCTATTAGGAGACAATGAAAAGCCCCTCATCACATGTGCCCCTCCATCTTGGCCTTCCTCACTTCTAGAACTGTGAGCTAAATAAATATCTGGTCATTATAAATCACCCTGTGTGACCAGCCAGGCATGGTGAGGCATGCCTGTAATCCTACCACTCAGGAGGCTGAAACAGGAGGATCGCCATGAGTTCAAGGCCAGCCTGGGCTACATAATGAGGTCAAGGCCAGCCTGAACTACATAGCCTGTCTGAAAATAAAGTGAATACAATAAAATAAAAGGATGGGCTGGGGTGGATCCTTCTGCAGGCTCCAGGGGAGAAGCAGCTTCCTTGACTGTCCAGCGGTAGCCTTCTGCTTTCCTTGGCCTTTGGCTTCACCCCAAACCCTGCTCTCACCATAACCTTCTGCCTGCATCCTATAAGGATCCTTGTAATTGCTCTGGGCTCATCCACACAATCTGGAATAACTCCCATTAATAAATCCATTATTTTTTGCAGGGTGCAATGGCACACACTTGTAAGACCAGTGCTAGGGAGGCTGAGGCGGGAGGATTCCCACGAGTTCCAATCCTGGCTTAGCCTCCTAAGTAGCCAGGATTACAGACGTGTCCCACCAAACCTGGCTTATTTTCATCAATTTAATGGAAGATTTTTCATCACTAAGGCCCCTCAAGAGTCTTAAGTGAGTCACACCTGCAAGCTCCCTTTTGCTGTGCCAGGTAACTATTCCCAGGCTCCGGGGTTAGGGTGTCACTGTCTTTGGGGAGCCATTACTCTGTGTGCCACAGATGGGCTCATCAGGGACAGCTTCTCTGCACAGGTGACTTTTGAGCTGAGAGCTGACTGAAATCCATAGACAAGCCCGGTGGATTCAGGTTGGGCTGCATTTCCTGCTCCTTGGAGAAACCTTCTGAGCATCCTTATGTCCCATTACATCGTTGACAGCAGTCACATCTAGGCAACTTTTTGTTTTAGTTTGTTTGAGGCAGGTTCTTGCTATGTAGATCTTGAACTCACCATGTAGCCCAGGCGGGCCTCGAATGCACAGAGATCCTCTTGCCTCGGCCTCCCGAGTGCTGGGATTACAAATGTGTGCCACCACACCCTGCTCCAGAGGTTTGGCTTTCAGCAGGGGCTTGGACCGTGGGGGCGCTGTACTCATCAGTGGATTCCTTTGCTGATAGGATTGTAGCTGAACGTGCTCTTAGGAAGTGGGGCCATGTTGGAGGAAGTAGATCACTTGGGTCTCTCTTTCTCAGTACCGGGGATTGAAACCAGGGCCTTCACACTGAGCTACACCACCAGTCCTTTTTTCATGTATTTATTTATTTATTGGCACTGGGAGTCAAACTCAGGGCCTCAGGCTTGCCAGGCAGGCGATGTGCCGATGAGCTACATCCTCGGCCCTCATGTTTTTTATTTATTTATTTATTTATTTATTTGGTACCGGAGATCAAACTCAGGACCTTGCGCTTGTGAGGCAGGTGCGGTGCCACTAAGCTAAATCCCTGGCCCCCTCATGTTTTTATTTTGAGACAAGATCTCCCTAAGGTGCCTGGGCTGGGCTGAAATTTGAGATTTCCTGCCTCAGCCTCCCAGAGTGTTGGGGTGACAGGCGTGTCCCACCACATCTGGCTGTTTTTGTTTTTGTAGTACATATTTGTGATACGTAACAAATACAATCCTCGTGGGAAATTGGTGCAGGTTCATGACACATCTTAATTCTTTTTTCCACCTCCCTTCCCCTCCCTCCTCTTCTCTCCCTCCATCTCTTTATCCCCTTCCTATTTCCCAAAGATGTATCTTCCTGTTTCCTCTTGTGTATCTTTTATGTTGCTTTTTGATTTATTTATACTTCAGGTTTCCCATATAAGAGAAACCGTGCAATGTTTAAGAGTACGTGACTGCTTAAGTGAAATAATTGGACACACATGTTTAAATACCGCATTGTTTCTCTGGTGTGAGAAACCGAAACTGGAAATAATGACTGAAATGTATAATAGATATTAGGGGGTTTTTCTTGTTTGTTTTTTGTTTTTGGTACCGGGGATCGAACTCAGTACCTTGAACTTACAAGGCAGGCACGGTGTCACTGAGCTAAATCCCTGGCCCTATAATAGATATTAGGAAACAGAAAGAAAATGTTCAACAAGGGAGGGAGAGAGGGAAAGGAAGGAAGAGACAAGAAAAAAAGTGAAAATAGAAAGAAAAAATAGAAACAAAGTTTTTGAATATAGGGAAAGGAAGGGAGTTGAAGGGGAGGGCGGAATGGAAAAAAATGAAGAGGCGGGATGTATCATGCACAGGTGCAAATTCCCTGTGATGCGTGTTAGCGTTATGTATGCCTAAAATATACCATTAAATCTTTTGCTTCAAAAAAGAAGAGTATGTGTCTGATTTATTGCACTTAACATTATGGTCTCAAGGTGCATCCATTTTCCTACAAAGGACTCAAGTTTATCCCTCCTCATGGCACAGTAGTACTCCATGGTATGTTAATACCACATTTTCTCTGTCTGTTCACCTGTTGACAGGACAGACTTACAGGCTGTTTCCAAGATATAACTATTATGAGTTGTGCTGCTATAAACATGGGTGTGCATGGATCACTGTAACATGACATCTTCAGTCTTTCAGGAAGATACCCAGAAAGAAGAATAGCTGTAACAAATGGAACTTCACGTTTTAGGGTTTTTTCTTTTTTTAATTTTTTTGCAGTTACCAGGGATCAAACTCAGGACCTTGTGCTTGCAAGACAGACACGATGCCACTGAGCTAAATCCCCAGCTCAAGTTTTAGGGGTTGTTTTGGTACTGGGGATCGAACTCGGGTCCTTGTGCTTGCACAGCAGGCAGAGAAACCACTGAGTTAAATCCCTGGCCCTCAAGTTATAGTTTTCTGAGGAATCTCCAAACTGATTTCCATAGGAGTTGTGCTAGTTTACATTCCTACCGGCAATGTAGAAGCCCCCCCGCCCACCCCAACCTCGCCCGCACTTGGTATTATTTGATTTCTAGACAATATGGCCATACTTTCTGGGCTAAGATGGACTGGCTCACTCTTATCGAAGCACAAAATAGACTGAGAGAGGAAGGACCCAGCAACAACGATTCTTTTCTAATTTATTTATTTTTTTTGGTACCGGAATTGAACTCCGCACCTTGCGCTTGTGAGGCAGGTGGCAGAACCACCGAGCTCTAATTTAATTTTGTTACAAGTACCTGCCATTCACAACTGCACCGTGATCAGAAGAGACATCATATTCTCATTCCATGGGTTGGAAACTGAGGCTCAGACAGGCAAAGTCACTCGCCCAAGGTGGCCCCGCAGCCAGGCAGCAGCAAAATCGGGACTGGAACCCAGGCCGGGCAGGTCCCATCCATCCCCAGCAGTCCGCAGCAGTGGGGGTCCAGGACCCATGACCCCTAGGGCTGCTGAGGGTCCCCACTACTTGGCCAGGGCCATGGAAATGACAGCAGGGAAGCTCCAGTCGCTCAACTCCCCAAAATCTGTGAGGTCCCGGGCCGCCACCTGGATGTAGTACTTGGCCTGGGGCCACACAGACCTGAGGACAAAGGCTGTAGCTTCGATGGGGCCCACCTGCGGTAGAGAGGGTGGAAGGTTCCGGATGGAGGAGATGGGTGCCATTGTGCCCTCTTGCGGGGCACAACCCCAGGACTCTGATCCCAACAGACCAATCTACACCACATGCCTTCCATGCCCCCGCCACGGTGTAGGTGTAGCTCAGTGTCCCCCAAAGGTCCTGGTGTTGAAATTTATTTATTTATTCATTTATTTATTTATTTATTTATTATTTATTGGTACCGGGGATCGAACTCAGGTCCTTGCGCTTGCCAGGCAGGCACCAGAACCACTGAGCTAAATCCCCGGTCCCCTGGTGTTGAAATTTAATCCCCAGTGCAAGTAAGAAGATGGAAACTGTCAGCCATGGTGGCACAGCCTGTTAGCCCATGATTCTGGAGGCTGAGGCAGGACGATCTCAAGTTTGAGGCCACTCTGGGCAACTTAGCAGGACTCTATCTCTAAATATCATTTTAATAAAAAAAGACAGGGGATGTGGCTCAGTGGTAGAGCATTTGACTAGCATAGGTTCAATACCCAGCACCAGTAAAAATAAAAAAAGGAGTGGAAACTTAATCCAGCATGATGTTTAGGAGCAGAACATCTGGGAAATGACTAGGATTCAATAGAGTCCTCTGTATATTAAAATCTTTTTTTTTTTTTTTTTTGGTACCAGGGATCGAACTCAGGACCTTGTGCTTGCGAGGCAGGCGCCAGAACCACTGAGCTAAATCCCCGGCCCTGTATATTAAAATCTTGCCTCGACAAGTGAGAGCTACCCATCTGTGACTTTTCTGACCCTGCCTGTCCCTCCCTGGTGTCCCCAGAACGCCTCGCCCTCCCTCTGGGCTCCATGTGATCACGACTCACAACTCTGTAACCCCAAGCCCAAGCATTTATGTTTCATGCTGGACCTGACTTGTCCCACATAGTGGCTGGATGTGGCTCTTTAGTTGTTCTGTCTTGTTTGAAACAGGGTCTCACTGTGTAGTTCAGGCCGGCCTTGAACTCACTATGTAGCTCAGGCTGGTGACCCTCCTCCCTCAGCCTCCTGAGTGTTGGAATCATGGGCGTGGACCGCCACACCAGCTTTTCCTGAATATTTTTTATCCCCAGTTAGTTGAATTGCTGACTGCAGAACCCACACATAAAGAGGGCCAACTGTATATTCACAGAATTGAGCAAGCAATCAATCAAAATTTAAAACCTAAAAACCCAAGCTGGGTGTGGTGGTAAATGCCTGTAACCTGGTATCTATCACTGAGTACAATGTGCTAGAGAGGTCCATCCACAATGTGGCAAGTATCACAACCTTGCTCCTCTTCTGGGCTGAGTAATATTCCAGAGCATGGATGGATCTCACTGGATGTGTCTCCTGCCAACTGTCACATGTGCTGTTCCCTTTACCCGTGTCCCCTTCCCACTCCCCTCCTCCTCCTCACCTGGCGGAAGTGCATGGCTCCCTGCCGCCTGTAGCGGATCCAGTACTTGAGAGAGAACAGCTCCGGGAAGGGCCAGGACCGCGGGGGCTCCCACTGCACCTGGAGCTGCCGCCCAGGGAGGGAGTTCAAGCGCACACCTTCTGGAGGGTCTGGTTTGACTGGCCGGGCAGCAAGAAGGAATTAGGGATGGGAGCTCATTCATCCCTTCAAACAAGTTTTTGTTTTTCCCCTTCCTGTTGTTCTGAGGACGGAACCCATGACCTTCCACCTGTTAGGCGAGTGCTCACTACTGAGTTACACCTCTAACCCTTGGTAAAATTTTATTCTGAGACAGCATCTGGCTAAGTTGTCCAGCCTGGCCTCAAGCTGTGACTATGTAGCTGGGATGACAGGTATGTGCCACTGCACCCAGCTTACAAAATTTTTAATTTTTTTTTTTGCAGGGGAGGGTTTGAGACAAGATCTCACTATGTAGCCCAGGCTGGCTTCAGACTCATAGTGATCCTCCTGCCTCAGCCTCCCGAGTGCTAGGACTACAATTATGCGCCGCCACATCCAGCATTACACTATTTTTTGAGCCATAAAACACATATCCTATCACCATTTTAAAGGGTACAACTCAGTGGCCTTTAGTGTATTCCCAAAGCTTTGCAAATGTCACTTCTAATTCTGGAACATTCCTATCACCCTAGAAGGAAGCCCTGTCCTCATGAGCAGTCCCTTGTCCCTGTCCTCCCCAGCCCTCACCACCCACAGATCCACTTCCTGTCTCTGGATTTGCCTGTCCTGGGCTTTGCCTATTCATGGTGCCACATGCTGTATCCTCTTGTGTCTGGTGTCTCTCACTGAGCATAATGTCCTCAAGGTCCCTCCACAAGGCAGCACATGTTGGAGCTGATCTAAGTGCAAGGCTTGTGCCCCTGGGGAGAGAGCTTTCACTTTTACCTGGAGGTAGGTGGGAGCCATGGAGGGCTACAGGCAGAGGCAGGACAGAGACTGATTAGGACTCACGGGCACCCTCTGGTGGGAAACATTGGAAGCGACTGCACTTGTCCAGTGAGTGACCCTGGGACTGGGCAGGTGGAAGCAGAGGCGGGAAGAGCAGGGGTGACTGGCAGGAGGCAGGGAGGGGAGAGGAGACTCACTAATGCGCTCGGGCATGAAGGGCACCAAGGTGCTGCGGGCGCCCTTGGGGTGGACGGCGGTGATGTTGAGCACGTAGGGCACCATGGAGAACAGCTGGATGTCAGGGATGGAGCAGTGCGTGGCCTCCGGGACAGGCTGCAGACAGGGCCGACTCTCCCCCTGTGTGGCCACACCAAGCCTAGACACAGGTGGCATCATGAGGGCCCCTCCCTCCTGGACCCCAATCGAGAGGCACAGGGTTCCCACCCCTCCTTGGGGCTGAGCAGCTGGGTGGGTGAGCCCTTCGTGACCAGGTGACCAGGGTTTAGGGTGACACAGCCCAGGGGAACAGTAGGCTTCTGGGATTCTCGCAGCAGCAAATATTCTAACTTTTGTTCGTTTTGAGACAGGGTATCGCTATGCAGTCCAGGCTGACCTTGAACTCACTATGGAGCCCAGGCTGGCCTGGAACCCATCCTGCCTCAGCCTCCTGAGTGTTGGGAGCACGGGTGGGCACCACCCCTGGCAGCTACATTCCAACTTTTTTTTTCTTTTCTTGCAGTACTGGGGATCGAACTCAGGACCTTGTGTTTGCCAGGCAGGTGTGGTGCCACTGAGCTACATCCCCACTTTACTTTCTAACTTTTTTTTTGGTACTAGGGATTGAACTTGAGAGGCAGGTGGTGGAACCACTGAGCTAAATACCCAGCCCTATTCTAATTTTTGAATCCCAACATTTGGCAAGTCAGTAAATTCATAGACTCTAGAGTCTGAAATAGAGTCTCTCTATTTTGGACACCCTAAGATCAGGCTTTTTTTATTTTTAAAATTGTCATTTCTGCAGCATTAGGAATAGAACTGAGACTCATGCATCCCAGGCAAGCATTCTACCACTGAGTTACGCTACATCTCCAGCTATTTTTATTTCATTTTGAGACATAAAACACATCCTAAAACTCACCATTTTAAAGGGTCTGGTTAAGTTCCTGAAGCTACCTTTGGAAGTTGATATCCTCCTGCTTCAGCCTCCTGAGTAGCTGTGATTAAAGGTGTACCCAGACCAGGCAAGTGAGATGTCTGACATTAGAATATTGAAACCAGCAGGGCATCATGTGATAGAAGTTTTTTGAAACATTCACAATATTCTATTTCCTTTCACTTCATTTTTGTGTGTGTGTGATGCTGGGGATAGAACCCAAGTCCGTTTCCATGCTAAGCAAGTGCTCATTACTGAGCTGCAACCCCACCCCAAACTAATATTTTGAAAGAAAGAAACAAACAACAAAAAGGAAACATACATACACACAAAGGAAACACACAAAACAATGCCAAAAAATAAACAAATACTTTGTACAGTCACCGCATGTGATATTAAATTAATTTACATTATAACTATTACTATGTAAATAAAATCTAAAGATGAAAACATTAAATTAAATTGCATTAAATTAAATGATAAATATTTGTAATATTTAGATACCATTTAAGTTAGATATCGAATACCACCCATGTTTTTTTTTTTGGTACCGGCGAATGAACTCAGGTCCTTGTGCTTTCGCAGCAGGTGGGGGGGAAACCACTGAGCTAAATCCCCGGCCCCCAGCCATGTTTGTTCCCTCCCCCTCCCCCTCCTCTTCCCTCTCCCTCTCTCTCTCTCTCTCTTTCTTTCTTGGTGCAGGGGATGAAACCAGGCCTATAACACGTGCTAGGCAGTGGCTCAGCCCTGAGCTGCACCCCTACCCCTTCTTAAAATTTTATTTTGAGTCCAGGATTTAGCTCAGTGGTTCTGCCACCTGCCTTGCAAGCACAAGGTCCTGAGTTCGATCCCGGTACCATAAAAGAAAAAAAATTTTATTTTGCGGCAGTGCCTCATTGTATTGCCCAGGCTAGCTTCAAATGTTCAAACTTATGATCCTCCTGCCTCGGCCTCCTGAGTGCTGGGATGACAGGCGTCACCACTACACCCAGCTAGGAAGTGTTTTTCTATTGGCCATCGCTGCTCTTGATTTGGGGTTTGGGACACCTGAGGCCACTACAGCCAGCCTGACCTCTCCCAGAAGCCACTTGCCCTGCCATCCTGCCAGCCCCTCTGACCTGTATGTGGCGATGAAGGTGGCTGTGGGCACCGGCGACAGCGTCCAGGAGCAGTCCACGGCAACCGGGTACCTGGAGGCCCGGCACTGCACCCGGGGCTGGCTCAGAGTCACTGGGGCCCCAGGAAGACAGGGAGAAGTGTGAGTTGCAGATTCACCCGGAGATTGCCACCATCCCGTCAGGAACTGTCAGCTCATTTCCCAGACAGGGAAAGTGAGGCTGTAGGAGTTAGGAGGCTGGGATCTGTGGCACACAGCTGTAATCCCAGGTATTCAGGAGGCTGAGTCAGGAGGATCTCAAGTTCCAGGCCAGCCTGGGCTACATAGGAAGACTCTTTTTCAAAACTTAAAAAATTTACAAAAGGGCCGGGGATTTAGCTCAGTGGTTTTGCTGCCTGCTGCGCAAGCGCAAGGACCCGAGTTTGATCCCCCCCCCAAAAAAATTTACAAAGGTCTAGGGGTGCAGCTAGCATATACAAGGCCCTGGTTCAATTCCCAACCCTTCATGTAAAGAGCCAGGTGAGCCAGGTAGGAGAGGGGTTTCCTGCACCTCTTTTTGTAACACTTTTTCTTCAAAGTAGGCAGACATCTGTTCTAATCCAAAATGAACACATTCAACTCAAAATTTATACCTATATCAAGCCTTGGCGTCCACAGTGATCCATCCCAGGAGCCCCACAAAACTCCTTACCTGGCACAGTGTGGTGTTTGCCTAGAGCCCAGACAATGTTCTCCCACCAACTATATTTTTTTTTGTTGTTCTTTTAGGTTTTGTTTTTGTTTTTTTGGTACTGGGGATCGAACTTGGGACCTTGTGCTTGCCAGGCAGGTGCCAGAACCACTGAGCTAAATCCCTGGCCCTACCCCACCAACTTTAAATCATCGATACACCGCTTTTGGGGGGTAGGGGGTCGAGTCTCACTCTGCAGTTCAAGCTGGCCTAGAACTCACTATGTAGCCCAGGCTGGCCTCAAACTCCAGGGAATCCTCCTGCCTCGGCCTCCCAAGTGTTGGGATGACAGGCGTGCGCCACCACACCCAGAAGTTGGCTCCTAACATTCTTGGTCCAAGTCTAAAGGTCAGGGTTGAGTTCCCCAACAATGTCCCTCTGCTTGGGTCCCCCACCTCAGGGGTCCTACATACCTTTCACGCCACCACAGGGCAAACAGCCGCTCCAGAGGGCGAGAAGCAGGAGCAGCCTTGGGGTCATGGTTGCCGGCTTCTGCAGCTTTGGCTTCTGCTCTCCAGAGTTCGGGTGGAGGACACAGAGGCCAGTCCAGGAGAAGGCTGGGGACCCGCCCAGGGAAAGCCCAGTGCCACAACGGGCTCCCCAGGGCTGACTCATGGGCTGGATTTGTGGGGCTGCTGGAGAATGCACAGAATGGCAGAGCTGTTCCCAGTCCCCTCTGCAGCCACCAAGTTTGTTGTGGAATTCCCTGAGGGTGGGGGCAGGGAGGAGGTCAAAAAAGAGAGAAGTGACCCCATGGCCTTTCCCAGCACAGCAGGACGTGCTGGGCCCTTCCTTCCGGTAGCAGCATTGCTGGGGAAACCCCAGAGAAGGGGATGGGGAGGAGAACTCAGAGAAGGACAGGGACAAGGACAGGAGAGGGTAGAGGGATAGAGTGAGACGCAGAGAGACACAAAGATGAGCAGGGCTTGGTGGTGCCTGCCTGTCATTCCAGCACTCTGGGAGGCTGAGGCAGGAGGGTCGAAAATTTGAGCCCCCCTCCAGGCTCCAGGCCACAGAGATGCAGGAACGGAGCCTTGGGGAGGCAGCCCCACCCTCAGATATTCTTCATGTGACAAGGACACCCAGGGACACCAGGAAATCCCCAGGGACAGGCTGGACACCTCCCCCCTCACTGGGGGAAGGAATTCCCGCACACATTGCCAGCTGCCTCCCCTCCCTTAGGCAGAAGGACTCAGAAGTCACCGGTGGGGATTTTGGGGGACTTGCCGAAGGAGCGGGGAGCCATCGGGGCAGGCGTTGGGTGCCAGCTGTGGTGAGGTTTGGGGTAAGAAAGTGAGTTTAACTCAGAATTGTGGAGAAGGTGCGGTGGTGCACACCAGCGACCCAGCACTCTGGGAGGCTGAGGCAGGAGAATCACAGGTTCAAGCCCAACCTGGGCAACTTAGCAGCTTAGTAAGACCTTGTCTCAAAATTACATAAAAGGTTTTTAAAAAATGAAAAGGCTGAGGATGTACCTCAGGGCAAAGATCCTGGGTTGAATCCTCAGTACCACCACCGCCAAAAAAAAAAAAAAAGTATTGATTCCAATAACTGAGTTTTGGCCCCAGGAGGTGAGGGCTTCCTGTTGAGAGTCACCCCATCCCTTCCCTGCTGAGGTAGCCAGCATCAGGCCACACACACCCTTGTGCTGTGCACAGTACGGTTTTATTCCTGGCTTAGTACATGGGCAGGAGCTAGGGACTCACAGATTGTCCGGTGGGGAGGCAGGGGTGCCAGCCTGATCAGTCTGTGTGGGGGCCACAAGTGGAGATGCTGCCAACTAGGGAGGAGCCCAGGCTGGTCCCCAAATGCCCACAGGCCCCGTGGGGCCCGGAGAAACTGGTCCTCAGCGGCCCTGAGCCTGCAGCCGCTGCATCTGCAAGATCTGGGTGAGAATCCGCTGCACATCCTCATCCATCTGACCCTGGGGCGGGGAAGAGAGGAGGAAAGCCACCCTGGTGCAACTGTCCTGGCGCCCCGTCCCCTCCACAGCACCCCCATAGCCTAAGGTGACCGCAAGCCCTGAGCGTTTCCTCGCCTGGCCCAGCCTCTCGCTGTCCAGAGGGGAAACTGAAGCCCCAGTGGCAGATGCAGAAGCGGGCACCCAGATTTGCAGATTTGCAGCTGGGAGTCTGTGCCGCTCACCTGGATGGCATAGAGCAGGTGGGTCCTGTACAAAGCCACCACAGCACAGTGGTCCCTGGTGGCGTCCTGTGGCATGGGGGAGGGGTGCTCAGTGAAACAAGACCCCACCTCCTTCTGTCCAGCAAGGTGCACCCAGAGCCCAATTATACCCGAGAGGTGGTGTATCACCGTGGAGCTGCAAACCTGCCCTGGGCATGCGCCCATGACCCTCCAGCCCTGCCCCTCGCCCACAGACCCCTCTTCGATCCCCCCCCTCGCTCGCCCACCAGCTGCACGGGTGGTTGAACCTCTGGGGTCCTTATGCACTGTCTCCTATTCCCCCACAGCCCTCACCTCCATCTGTCGCTGCATAGCCTTCACCTGGTCACGGAGGGCCTCCACCTCAGGGCTGGCCCCGGCTGCCCGCTGCTCTTTTAAGGCCTCCTTCAGGCTGAAGACCTCTTTGGACAGTTCTGTGATCTGGAAGTGGGATATATGGGCATCCCCCTGAGCCCAGGGTGCGGGCTGGGGACTGGGGTGGGGGCACCAGGAAACAGCAAGGGGTCCCAGCCTGCTAGGGAACGGCACAACCCAGGGGTTAGCAAACCCTACCCCTGCCCCAGGCCTAGTTTGGCCCTCAACAGTTTTTGTAGTGTGGGTGAGCTAAGAACACGTTTCACACCTACAGTTTTGTTTGTTTATTTATCTAGCAGCACTGACGATGGAACCCAGCACCAAAAACAAAGAACAGAATTTGGGAACCTGAGTTGAAACCCTGGCTGAACCACTTCATGGCTGTGTGACCTAGGGCAAGTGGATTCACCTCTCTGTGCATAAGTTTCTTCAAATGAGGATAATTAAAGCACCTATCAGGTGGATGTGGTGGCGCATGCCTGTGATCTCAGCACTGGGGAGGCTGAGCCTGGAACATTGCTATGAGTTCAAGGCTGGCCTGAATGACATAGTAAGACCCTGTCTCAAAAAACAAAACAAGGCCGGGGATTTAGCTCAGTGGTTCCACTGCCTGGCTTGCAAGCGCAAGGCAAGGACCGGAGTTTGATCCCAGGTACCAAAACAAAAACAAAAACAAAAACAACAAAAAACCCAAAACCCAAAGCACCTATCTTATGGGAATCTGATATAAAGAATAAAGGGAACACTGCATGTAAAGTGCATGGCCCGGGCTCGGGAATTCAGTAAGCATTTAATAAATGGTTATAACTAGAGCAGCAGAAGCCTTGGTGCTCCCGCCTTTCTGTGCCTCAGTTTCCCTTTTGGTTGGGACATTCTTATGTTCTTTCCAACCTCTGCAGAGTGGGGACCCTCAGACACAGCATGGGAAGGGGGAACCCACCTTCTTCTCCTTCTCCTTGGCTTTGTCCAGGGCTTCCTGGGCAAGGCTCTGGGCCTGGCGTGCCCTTTCCGCCTCGGTACGGAGTCCCCGTAGCTGCTGCTCAGCCGTGGCCAGCTGGGCTTCAGCCGCATGCCGTTCACTCTTCATGAACAGAGCCTCCCGCTGCACCTGAGGCCCAAGCCCAGGTAGGATGTTCAGGACACGTGGTCCCCAAAAATGCTTGGACCCAGCGTCCTTCTGACCCTTGTCCCGAGGACATTCCGGCCCAGGCCCATCAGAATTCTGAGTTCCCTTTGGTTCTACAAACATTGCAACCTTGCCGTGCACCTCTAAACTATGAGCTATGTTTCCTCAGGCAAGTGAATTAACCTCTTTGGGCCACATTTTCCCTGTATTAAAATGAAGATATCCCCTGCTGGGTATCTTTCCCAAAGAATTAAAAGAATCATACCACAGTGATATATGTGCACCCATGTTCATAGCCGCACAGTTTGTAATAGCTAAAACTTGGAAACACCCAAATGCTCATCAACTGGAGACTGGATAAAGAAAATGTGTTTTTTAATATAAAATGGAGTACTACTCAGCCATAAAAAATGAAAAATTAGAGACATTTATAGCAAAATGGATGCACATGAGGCCATAATCTTAAGTGAGATAAATAGGACACACATGTGTAAATACCAAATAGTTTCTCTAGTGTGAGAAACTGGAAGTGTAAATAAGGATTAAAAGGTATAATAGATAATGTGAAATAGGAAGAAAAGGGGCAAAGGGGAAGGGGAAGTGGGAGGGGTAGGGGATAGAA